ATAACATTACAAAACAACCACTTTTAGATTCAAAATATGAGGAGGCATTCCAGATGGAGTAATGGAATTCAAAAACTCAACTGGAAAGTCTAAAGTCTCCATGATTGAATCACTTTCAATTGTGTCTATGCTTTTAAAAGACAATAACTTTCCACTTAATCGTTCCAATACATGCTCATTTAAGTCAAGAGAATGATCATTTAATGGCGTTAAGATTGATTTCTGTGAATTAACTGTACTTGGAGTAATTGTTTTACCAAAAATACGGTCTATCATTGTTTTTTTATTGGTACATTCTGTTGGTAGTTTTATTGTCTGTTCTTTATACCCTTGAAGAGATTCTAACTCTCCGTTGCCAAGTTTTATCAACCATTCTGACCATTCCTGCTCTTCAGGATTAATTCTCATATTCTTTTTTAGAGTAAAATTAACTACTGATGGCCATATTGGACTGCATTTAACACTATTTTGTACTATCATAGATCTCTTTGCCCTCTTAAGGACAGGTAATGTCTGACGAAAGTCACCACCAAGTAAAACTGTCATTCCTCCAAAATCTTTGTCTACTTTTTTTATATCCCGTATGACTCTTTCTACAGCCCTGAAAGCATGAACAGGTACCATACTTATTTCATCCCAGATAAGAATATCAGTTTTACGAATATTTTCTGCGGCTGTACAATTTTCTCTTAGGTCAGAAGTACATGTCTCAGTGATTGGTACTGGTAACTTAAATGTAGAATGAACAGTTCGACCACCAATTAGCAACGTGCTTGCAATACCTGTCCATGTAACAGCTATTACATTTTTCATTATAGAGTTTGCATGTAGGATAATAGTATTGAATAAAAAAGACTTTCCTGTGCCTCCGACACCATCAATAAAATAAAGCTTTGGAATGCTTATGTCATTTAGTGTTTTAATATAGATGTCAAACATTTTACGTTGATCAGTATTTAAAAGTTTAATACTTGTCTCTAAGTCTGAGCTATGTTGTAAACTATCACACTCACTAATTGCTAGATCAAATGAATCAAATGGTATAACAGGCATATGTAAATCAAAATCGTGTAATTTTTTTCCATGTTGTTCAAACATTTGCGATAGCTCCTTTAATGCTACAGTAAATGATAGTTTATCATCATTATATTTTCTAAATAAATCTTCACACATCTCACTCTTATATTTTTCCCAAAGATATTTGGGATCATTAATTTCACAAAAGATACACATTATTCCAAAAAGATAACGTACCTTTGCAGGCATATGAAATGTCAATGATTCCATTATACACCTTTCCCATTCCAGATCAGTTTCCAACAATCCCATTGCATGTGCAACGGCTCTATAAGATTCAAATTGTGTTCCATTCCATTGTCTTAAATCTTCAAAACTTTGAGCGCCTTTGATATGAAGCAGTAATAAACGCATATAAAAGCGCTCTCCATCTTTTGGTGGCACAGTGTACATTCTGCCTATAACTTTTGAAGCACGCTGACGACGCTTCCATGTCTTATTACCTGTGTTCCATGTGTACCATTCTGGTATCTCAGGATATAATAAAGTTCTAGAAAGCATATCTCTTTTATTTAGCTCAAACCATTCAGTTAACTTTGTTCTGCGACCCCTTTCTAAAGCAATCTCTTCCTCACCTTCATTAAAATATACACTTTGTAAATTTGGTAGATGAACATCTAATCGTTCAATTTTATGAGATCTCCCATGCAAATCATAACCAAAAATTCTCCACATACCCTCTGAAGCAGAAACATATCTGCAATTTCTAAAAGCTTTAATTTCATCCCAATCAAGTATACCTTCATTTGAATGTGTTTCATCATTTTCAATATGTATTTCTGCACAGTCATGTCCTTTATATATATATTTGAAAATATATTTAACACTTTTCACAGTAGAGCATACTTCCACATTTATATGAGCTTTATACTTTCGTAAAAGATACTTATTATATGGAACAACAAATTGGTTGTCTATTGCTTTGTTTTTAATGATTATCTTATAACTTTCAAAACGCCTCCTATATTCTGGAAATTGGCCTCCAGTGTTCTTTGTTTCATCACAATATTCTCTAGGAAACCGAGATTTACATTCTCCTTTCTTATAACAAGGGCTATCTGGAAAACCTGGACCACAAGGACCATGAATCATATGTTTTTTCACTAAATCATATAGTTCAGGATCTTGGCTAGGATCGGGTATTTCTGCTGACACTATATCATCTATATCATCTACAGTCCTTATTTTATTTTCACTCTTCAAAATTACAAGAATGTGACAATGTGGTAAACCCCTTTTTTGAAATTCAATAACATATACATATGCATTGACTTCACCAAAGATTTTTTTCTTATAAATGTCATCTATCAATTGTTGTTGTTTTGCATGGAATACTCGTGCAACTAAATCAGGTCTATCAGATGCTACTTGACCAGGTAATAAATTTTCAGTTATTTCTCTCCATTTTGGATTGCATGTAAAAGTAATAAATAAATCTGGTTTTCCAAATTTCCTAACCATACTCATTGCATCTTGATAATTCTGATTCATTTGCCTTGGACCTCCAGTGAAACTTGATGGTAAGATAATAAGTTTTCCAGCTCGAACACCTGCCTGTTCAGCTTTGTTAACTACAAAATCAGATAAACCACTATAAGCCTCAGCTCTAAGTTCTCTTTGATTAAATTGAACCCATTGTAGGCGAGACCCTTCAATCTTTGTATACATGTCAACCATGTATTGTTGTGAAAGCTTACCTCCCAATAAAATAGGATTGAAATATATCTCTTTCACACCATTTCTAAAATGACCTCGAACAGCAAATTTATATCGATAGAATTCCATCATAGTCACTTTTGTTTGTCTCAGAGCACTCCCTCTTTCTGTATATTCCATATCTGGTGACCAACCTTCTTCACCATTTGGAAAAAGCAAAGGGTAAACCATAGGATCACAACATGAAGAAATAATTGATATCTCTTGCATATGTCCATGATTAGGATATATAGCAATGCTACGATTAAATGGTGGATTTCCAGTGGGATTTGTGAATACAGCAGCTACTTCATTAGACATGGGAGCATTATATCTCCTTGGGTCAACAGTATTTTCACCTTTTATATACATCACAACATTACAAACTTGAGAATTTTCTATAGAAGTAGCATGCTGTAACTGTTCCTCAACGTCTTTTAACATCCTAAAAGCTTTAGCGTATGGATTAATTTCACGAATTAGCACATCTAATTCTTTCATCAGTTCAACATTGCATCCATGATTACACTGATTTCTCATTCTAATATCTGTAGCATAAAGTGTGTCTAATATATATAACTGAGAATATCTGGCTTCTTCCCCATCCTTTGGTCGAAAGCTACCAATTGAGTGGTATACCTGACCGTGTATCTTAAAATAATAAGGTCCACCACCAGTCATTTCCTCTACATTAGCACCCATAGATGCAAAAGCAAGAGCACTATTGTAATTTCTAATACACTCTCTGAAGTTCCCATGATGTTTTCTGCCTTCAAGCAATTCTTTTATCAATACAGGAAACTCCAGATTGTTTGTCAAAGAAACACGACCACTATGACAACATTGAGACTTTGTTTCATTTTCAAAGAGAAAAGCATTACAGAATGCACACATTCTATCCATACCTCCTAGATAATGTGTCTCACATTGACCATCATGATTATTTTGCTTTAAACCAGGATACCTCAAACAGGTTTGTTCATGCATTGTTTCTTCATGTGCATCCGTTACAATTGTATTAGTTTGTAGACATGGTGTGCTAACATTTGATTCACTGGTCTGGTCATCACTTAAGAACAAATCAGTTGTTAATCTTTTTCTTTTTCGAACCATTTTCAAAGAAATTTGTCAAAATTTACAAAGACAGGCGTTGTAGTCTATGCAAAAAACAGTTTTTCTAGGCAAGCGATTAGGCAAGCGATTAGGCAGGCTAATAGACAATAGTTGACAATAAGTTGCACAATTCATTCATTGCTGCCATGAATACAGAAAGTAATGCTCCAAACCTAAAACAATTTACCAATTCTATCCAAGCTCTATCATCTTTCAGATGTTACCTGGATGTTGTATAGCATAGTATCTCTTTCTCAAAACACTTGGTTCTCCACAGCAGAAAACTAAAACAATTGACAAAATGTCAAACACTAAAGCACCAACATCGTTTCTGTCCAAATTAAATTCACCGTATTCCTTCTACAAAAAATAACTGAAACAATAGGGCTTTACATCGTGTTAATTCCTAGGACACACGTTTTTTTCAGTTTTTTTTCACATCAATTCATACACTTCCTGTCACACTCAGAATAGATCTTGGATCCTTACAAGTTTTTTAGTGGTGAAGAAGGAAATAAATAAGATGACCCCTAAGTGATCCAGAGAATTTACTAAACGATGTGTTCTGTAAGATCTTGAGATTCGAGAGAGTTACGCAAGAATCCAAGGCTGAGATGAGTGTCAGCTTGTCCGATTTCACTCCCTTGAGTTGCATCTGAATGAAAACTCTGGCAGCCGAGCGATCGTCGTCACAGCAAGAGAAAGAGGACATCAGCCCATTCCAAAGAAGAGCACTGTAGCCACCGGAAGAGAAAGAGACTTGATCAAAAACCGTCAAATGGAAAGCTTTTGATTGCCTTGTAATACATTTCTGTATCTCGGCGTCCACCCTGTTTAATTTCTGGTAAAGACGCCCATGCATGATGTTTTGAGACCAAATCAAAAGCCTCAAGTTTCGAATTATTTCCTTGCAGAAGTTCTGCTTTATCATGTCTGTAATTTAAGGCATAAATATTTCACAAACACTGTACCTTAAAATTACCTGCTATATTTCTCTTCTGTTTCAACATCCAGTATATAAGGATGCCAAATGCAAAAATTGTCTTCACAATCTGAAACAAATGGCTGTTTTTTTTTCTAAATACTAACATATTCAATAGAATAACAAGTTTTTGATAAAGAGTCCTTAGTTTCTGATTGAGTGAACAACCGCATTGCTTTTCAGCGACAGTGGATATGGGATATATCGAGATCCTGCATGCTAAGGTACTCTTGAGTGTTGGTGTGCCTGATGGCCCTGGAGAGCGTAACGTGCTCCATGGGCTTTTTGGTCTGCAAAGGCCAGAAGAAATGAGAAGTTCTTTCTTACCCGTTCGTCATGGACTTACTCTTTCTGCAGCTTGTCTTTGTCAGCCTCCTCTATCTTTGGTGCGCTCTGCAGAACCACAAAAATTGAAACAAAGTGATGAAACAGGTCAAATACCTTCTCCACGAACTACTACCTCACACTCTCCAGATATGGCAGCAGAGTTCCCGTAATGAGGATCAGAGAACAAACAAAAATCACATATGATGTCCTAGATCTGAACTGCAGAAGTTCTTGGGTCTTTGAATGTGTGGTTTGGAAAATTCTACTGCCCATCCGGTGCGCTGTCATCCGGTGCGCTGCTTCTTCCGAAATAAAAACCCAGCATCCAAATGCTCCAGATACGAACAGACATAAAACGTTTAACCATTGATTTCACGAATCCAAGGGTAAGAGAATCTTTGGTGCGCTCTGCAGAACCACAAAAAATGAAACAAAGTGATAAAACAGGTCAAATACCTTTTCCACGAACTACTACCTCACACTCTCCAGATATGGCAGCAGAGTTCCCGTAATGAGGATCAGAGAACAAACAAAAATCACATATGATGTCCTAGATCTGAACTGCAGAAGTTCTTGGGGCTTTGAATGTGTGGTTTGGAAAATTCTTCTGCCCATCCGGTGCGCTGTCATCCGGTGTGCTGCTTCTTCCGAAATAAAAACCCAGCATCCAAATGCTCCAGATGCGAACAGACATAAAACGTTTAACCATTGATTTCACGAATCCAAGGGTAAGAGAATATCTGTCCCCCGATGCCAATAGCACTTTTAAATAAAGAAGTATGATTTTAAATTAAATAAGTTAAAGAATATATGCATCCTAATCTTTTAGTTAGTAAATATAATTGTTAAAGTTTTTTTAACTCAAAACTATAGTTATTTTATATATTTTGTAAAAAAAGTTATAAAATCACATAATTTCTGAAGTATTTATTAATAATAAATTTATCATATAAAAATTTAGATAATTATATATATTTAAAATACTTTATAACATAATATTGTTATATTAATTAATAAATATTTAATATATTAATGAATCTCATCTTTGAGATGATCTGTCTTACACTTGATTTGACTTTGCAAGCGATGGCTTGAAGTCTTAAACCTTGTTACTTTTCAAAATTAGTATTTAAAATAAAAGTTTTGTTTGAAATTTTGCTATATATATAATTAATTTTTATCTCTTTATTTTATAATATAATTATTAAACTTTTTTCAAAAATATTATCTTAAATTTTAATTTTCAAAAAATACTAAATATTTAACCTTAAAAATTAATAAAAATAAATTAATATGAGTGTTTTGAAAAACTTATTTATTATTTATTTATTAAATTTTAGAATTTCTCCATTTCTAACATCAAACTTGAATTTTTTTACCTTTTAATTGCTCCAAAATAATCTAGATGCTACTTAACTTTCTATATAAGATTTATATATTTTTATTTGAAGGTAAATCTAAATGCATCATCTTTTAAATTTTTAATTGTTATCCAAAATTTGTGAAAGAAAATTTTGAAAATTACCTATATATATATATATTTTATTTTTATACAATTAAAAAAGTTCCTAAATCATCATTTCATCATACAGGGAAACTCAAGAATAAGACATTTAAATTAGAACTTTGCATTGTATGCTTTATTTCGTTAAAGTGGAACTTTTCATTATCCCACTTATGGTGTGTGGCCACATGCCATTTTTATAACAACAATAAAAAATTGAAGTTTTAGCTTTATAATTTATAAATTAAAAACTTTTCATATGATTTTGTGTTTTAATATTGTGAAATATAAAAAATAAATTAAAAAACTGATAGAAATATTAATAAATATTAATTAAGTACTAGGAAATGGCATGTGGACACATGCTAATTAATGTCCCACTTTACTGAATAAGTTCCACTTTAACGAAATAAAGCATTTGTCTACTATTGCTTGGCCATACACCTACTATAATATAATGGGGTTTTCTCTTTATCTTAATCTTTTATGTAAGTTTTTTTCGTCATTTGTCTTTCAAGAAGTTTAGTGCATGTAAAGCTACTCCCTAGAATGCAATTGTCCTTGGTTAAATAAAAAGACTGTCTTAGTATAAGTTGACTATAGTAAATATGGTGTAAAACACTTATTTGCACAAACTTGAATTAAGATATGCTCATAACTAATGATGCATGACTATATAGAGCCATAATTGCTGCCAATAGAGGTAAAAGAAAATCCCATAGCTCAAATGTTATTTTCTTTTTGGCAATTGAATACAATAATACCTCATACTTACAATGTCCTTTTGCAGTTTTTTTTCTTTTATGATTTGGTTTTATGAAAGGAAAATGAGAGATCAAGATACCTTAGAGTCTACTAATAAGGCTTTTTATTAGATCACTTTTGATATGCAAAAGATAGGCATTTCTCTTGCTTCTAACAACCAACCACTTAGAACTTCACTAATGTTACATATTAAATGACCAAAATGATGATCTTAAAATAAAGTGATTCCCCAATGGACTTCCACTCCAATATGAACAAGGGTAATTTGAGATTTAATCTCTTCTACTACTTTTGTAAATGCCATCAATCATTGTCAATCACCCCAAAAGTAATCAAATATAAGTTTTAAAAATTTTGAGATAAATAAAAATTGAAACTACACTAAGATTTTTAAATGTTATATAGCTTAAAAATTGTAAGCAAGCAATGAAAAACACTTAACTTGAATATAAGTTTTGTGCTTTTAAGCAAATCGTTGTTCCTTTTTAATGGTCCAGATTTTATGATAATTTATTTTAATGGATAAGAGTTTTTACTAAGCATAGTGTTTAAAAATTTTTAATTACCATACATCTTTGGTTTTATTAGTCTGATGGTTCTAAACTATTTACCAATAGTACTTTTGATCATGCTTGGAAAAAGGAACAAGAGATTATTCTAAAGCTTTTAGAGTCTACTCTTCTTTGTCTTGATTTGATCTTGATGCTCTTTTCGGAGTATAAGAAAAATATTAATAAAAAATTTCCGGATCCATTTATTTATTGATCTTACTAGCCGCTGCTTTTCAGCATCCACACAGCAAGCGCGAGGAGCAATGGCTGGGAGGTGAGCAGACCACTGACGAACGAGGCCTATAGAGGGTATGGAGACTTTCTGCTGCTCCGCCTAGACAACCGAGTCCTCGGCCAAGTTTTTCGGGCGCTAGGCGAATGTGATGGCGCCACGGGCTGCTTCCAGGCGAATCTCCTAGACCAGACGCTCAAGTACACCGAAATCGTCAGCAGCGAATTCCCCCCACCCGCTGAAAAACCACTCGGGTTTGACGACATAGGCGACTACCCCATCCCATATACACACATGATCAAGCTCGTGGACGACGCCACGGAGAATGCAATCCGCTGCTGCCGTGGAGAGCGACCCATCCATCACCGCACACAGGAAGAAACTCCCTCGTGTACGACGTTTGCCGGAATGTTGCCTGCCGAGCCGGGAAGGAAATCTTTGCCGGGGAGCCAAACGTGTACGAGTTGAAGGAGCAGGCGCGTGCGTTTGCCGCTGAGTGCTATGCCGGCATCTTTGGTCTGCAGTCCACAAGCCTCACCGCTCTTGTCCATGAGCGCTCTCGATCATTTGCTACACCTGTCGTTCCACGCACTTTCTTCTCCAGCGATCACTTGAAATTGATGAGGTGTGCCAGGAGCCTCGAGTTGGCGCAGGAGGTGGCTGATGCCGGGGGACTGCCGGAATTCCCTCATCATGGAGGTCTCGTCTACAACTTTGAGAAGAAACACGCTTACAGCTGCTGCTATACTGCCACAAGTACAATAAAGGTATGGCTTCGATCCTGCCTGGAGTGTTTTAACTTCGGTTCTTTCTGTGGCTTGCTGGATATGACGAGCGCAAGCTATTGTGGTTGTCCTTCTAGAACCAGCAGTTCTACACTGTCGATGTGCAAGTGCCCGGTGAATAATTTGCAGACGTTATCTTAAATTTTTTTCTTGCGTACAGGTCTCACGTCGCTGGATCAAGTGAGTGTTGTAAAAGATGGACAGGGCATGCGTGTTTCCACGGAGAAGGACGTGTTCCGCCCCGACAGGCTTGCGGTTCCTCCTTATGCCGACGTCCGCAGTGCAATACATAATCTCCAGGATGAGATTCGCACCATTCGCCTTCCCAAGGGGCCTTTGCGTTCAAAGGGACAGCTTCAACAGTGCCAATTGACAACTTGGATGATCAATCTTATGTTTTTCTTTTTCCTTCTTTTAATTTCTTGTTTTTCTCTTCTTCTCTGCTGTAGCCAAGAGGCGATCCATCAGGGCAAATACAGCAGATGACGAGCATCACCACATTCTTTGTGTCGAAATTCCAGGTATGTCTCTGAAAACTCTCACGTTTTCTTGGCTTGTTGACCATGCAGGCTTGTCGCGAGAGGAAGTGATTGTGGACTGTGCATGGCCGGAACTCATCGTTAAGACCAGCGGCAACGTCTTCAAGCAAAAGAAGCTTAAGCTTCCCTCTGGTGCTGACGTGAAGCAGGCTAAAGCGTCTTTCTGCAATGGCTTGCTTACCATTCGCGTTCCTAAGAGTGCAGAGCTAACTTTTCAGTAGCACTTTTTGTTTATGATGCCTGTTCTAATGTCATGTGCTTGTAATATTGTTATATAAAGCGTCTAATTTCTATTGAGATTATTGTGGCGCAATCGCCCGCATGGATCTTCCGGAAGCTGTCGAAAATTCCTGCGGCTCCATACATCTAGATCTCAGGTCTCGGATTTTCGTAAAGGGCATGTAGCCAATAATCCTGATTGTGTGTTCAAGCAAAAAAAGAGAGAGAAAGTTGCTGGAGTAGAATCGAATAGTAACTTGATTAATCGTTGTCTAATCACGGTGTTAGCTATGGTTAGCTCTTTTCTATTTCTGAAGCAATAGATTTTCTTTTTCCACTATAGGTACAAGAAATGTTCAAAATTCAGCATGAGACCTAAGGATTCAAGAAGCATGAGACCGAATGATCCCCACTACCATAAGTTCAGCCGATGTCTAGTTTGGTTTTATCTATGCATTACTTAAAAGTGGCTTTCTTTATAAATACCTGCATGATAGATAGAAGAGTGAGACGAACGATCTTAAATAACTAGACGTTTGCACTACTTTGTCTTCGTAATGTATTACCAAAAAAGTGACTTTCTCATAAAATTGTGGGCTTTTATATGTGAGTTTTGAGTAATAAGCCAAGCCTCAGAAAGAAGAATACAGTACTGACAGGTATATTCACTTTTCTATCGTAAATTGCACCGTGACAGATTGTTGGCTCCAAACATGTAGTTCCAAGCGAGAAATATGCTGCCAAGGATCACGCACAAGGTTCTTGGGCCAGGAAAGAGAAAGCTGCATATACATCAACTACATCACAACTTGGAGAAGCAGGCCAATATATCAAGAAAAAGCATTCTCGGAGCTGTATTACAGTGCATTGGTGCGCTCCAATTCGGATGTCACACCGGATAGTGAAGCGATTTCTTTCCAGCTCCAAAGGTGGAAGCTACGAAGAGAAAAAGACAGAGAATAACCGTAGCAGCTCAGTTCGCCCAAGATCCCTTGAGCTAGAGAAAATTTCCGTCTACTCTTTTGAATGACAAAAGTAAACAAAGGCACCTTTTCAGATTGTGCCAGTAACAAGT